CCTGTTACTGATGTTATGGTGGCCCATATTAATGACCCTAACCCTAACCCTAATCCTAACCCTTCATAATAGTGAGAAATAAATATTTTTTGGTTAAACTTGTTTGGACTTATTGTACAAACCTATTTAACATCCACTATTTTAACATAATATTATGGATAGAGTTTAATTCAGTGTTTGCAAGATTCATTTCACTATTTAAATTAATGTCTATATTGCCATGAAGCAATTAGGATTTTCTTGCCTGGGCTCTTTCTATTGGTGACGTAATCAAAACGTCCGATTTGGATGTGGGCGGAGTTAAATATGTACTTGATTAAGGGTAGCATGTTATTATTAGCCATTAGCCGCAGCTAGCAAGGCTAACGTCTTGTTAATGATCATAAACAACTTAAATAAATACATAAATAAATCAGAGAGAAGGGGGGGTATCGATACTTTAGAAAATGAGTATCGTATCCGGATACAACATTTTATTATCCATACTTTTTCGAGTATCGATACTTTTGACAACCCTACTTGGCAATAAACCTTATTCTGATTCTGATTCTGATTCTGATACGTTACGGTGGATCAAACGTTAGCGCATGTGTGTGTCTTATGTTTGCCCCCCCCCCCCGTTACCTTCCCGCTCTGCTTCAGCCTCTTCTGCACCTCCTCCGCGGGCTGGTCCACGTAGACGACCAGGTGAGGGGGCAGGAACTCGCAGATGCTGATGTGTTTGATCTCGTTGTAGTGCTGCACACCTACAGGCCCACAGACAGAAACCCGCTCAGAGACCTGGACCAGGACCCGCTCAGAGACCTGGACCAGGACCCGCTCAGAGACCTGGACCAGGACCCGCTCAGAGACCTGGACCAGGACCCGCTCAGAGACCTGGACCTGGACCAGGACCCGCTCAGAGACCTGGACCAGGATCCACTGGATCCAGATCCACCAGGATCCAGTGGATCCAAATCCACCAGGATCCACTGGACCCGGGTCCACCAGGACCCACTGGACCCGGATCCACCAGGATCCACTGGACCAGGATCCATTAGACCTGGATCCACCAGGACCCACTGGACCCAGATCCAGTGGACACGGATCCACCAGGATTCACTGGACCAGGATCCATTCGACCCAGATCCACTGGACCAGGATCCACCTGGATCCATTAGACCCGGATCCACCTGGATCCAC